TTATTTATTTATTTTTATGCTTATTAATATTCATCAAAAATATAATTGCTTTTGAATTTAGTGATGTTCTGTGCTGTATCAAAACAGTAAGAGTTAAATTTTAGGGTCACTATCACATGGCCGTTGCAACAACTGTTGGCTGTAGTACTCAACACAGTATGTGTCAGCCTCAAAATTTTTCTGGCTAATTAACTTAAACCATAATCTTAATATAAGCCAGGAGCCTCCTAAAGACCATTTTATTTGAAATTACAAAGAAGTTATAAATGAAAGCTAGAACATCTAACATTAGCTAGGTACCTCAAAAATGCATGGCACTGATAGTAAGAGAAAGTAGAGAATATCGAGATGTGGTAACATGACAAAAACAGATTCTGGAGGATGAGGCAAGTCATCAGGATTATTTATGTAAAGACGAAGGATGTTACATTCTATGCGTGTATGCCTTTCTAACTCAAAGGGATACTATCTTAGGTTTCATATTATGGCATCCCTGGTAAATTATAGAAAATCAACTCTGGAGTCTTTTTTCTAAGTTGTGTTATCCTGGAAATGCCTATTAAATAAGGGTCAATTAATTTGAGGAAGGTTTTAAGTTTTATGATTGCTTATAGTTTATGCCTGCAACTTTATTTGAAATAAACCCTGTTGGTTACCCTAGATCAGAAAAAAATTTTAAATAGGATCCTAATTTATTTTGTGTTATTGAGGACAACACAATATTCTCAAAAAACAATGTCATTTTCATTCATTTTAACTAAAAAATGAAGTATAATTACAAATAAGCACTGCCAAATAGATGAAAAAAAATGATTACCTGTCAGTTATGGGATTATTTAACTTGCATGAGATTGCTAATATAAAAAATGACATAATTCATTTCAATGCAGATGCCGCCTTCTTAATAATTTTCAATCCCTAAAATACAGAAGGCTCTAAAATGGTTTATACTCATAACAAGTAAGAAAAATCCAATAATGCACATGTACTCAAAGCAAATCTTTAAAAAAAAAAAAAACTAAATATTGAGTTATATTAATGAGTCAATGTTTTTAATAAAGTTTGAATGCTATAAAACTTGGATATAACAGAAGATGTTATTCAACTCCAAATAATTATAAATTATAATTACCAGTACAGTATTCTTTCTAATGAGACTAGAATGAAAGGATAATTTTAATTGCAATAATGAAGGTTAATTTCCATCCTTCCTCATGTTTACTCCCTTATTAAAAAGTGGTCCCCTTAGCCAAGGCAGAGACATATTACATTTTCAATGCAAATGTATTAATCTGGATAAACTCTGTATTAATTCTTGTACTGCACAGAGCTATAATTTGGATTATAATTAATCTAAAGTGGCACTAGATTTAAATGACAATATAAATGAAGCATTAGAAGGCTTTTCTATTATGAATGAATATTCAACAAATATAACTTGCATATTGCCACGTCTCATTTTGAAAGCTCTACTCCTGCAGATTAATGTCAGCAACATAGCACAACAGCTTACACAAACATAGCCTTCCTAACATATGTTAATTCCTTCCTGTCTAAAAAATTCTGTTAAAGTTGGCTCAAACTACCTTCCCATCTAACATACGAAGATAGTGATTAATTTGTAAGCTTGCTAGTATTTTTTGTTTACATTTATGATACATATAAAGAAAAACAATAAATATAAGTGGTTATTTAATCATTAGAAATACATATGAAAGAAAATCCATGTAATAATTTTTTAAACCTAAAAGCATTCAATTTAGAAGGCAGAAAACTTTGTTAGATGTTCATGTTAGTTGTCAACCACAAGAGCTGTCTTGAAGGCTGGAAGGTTTTAAAGCTAAATATTAGCATTTCAGCAACTGCTTTTAGTTGGTCCTTGCTTAGAGCTTATTTTTTATCCTTACAGATAAACCCAGGAAGGCATTTCTATGGGGATAAAATTTGTTTTAAATAACTACCATTATACAATTGTCTGTATCCTCTCAAATGCCCAAGTCCTGTCTGGATGGTACAATTAGGTGCCTAAGGAAGAACAATAATTCATCAGCCCATTAGGGAGTGATTGAGTCCACTACTTTTGCGGAGCAGTAAGTGGCACTGGTAAAGACAGAGCCTTGGCATCTGTGCTATGTTCCAAGCCAGATTCTTTCCTCAATGGTAAAATTAGATCAATTTTTCTAGAGATTCCCAGAATCCATCCTTTACAAGGTACTAGATATTAGACATTTAAGACCTGGCATAATGTCATATACTTCAGTATTACACGGGCATTGAATTAACACAAATCTGATATCTCTGTTACACATTCTTCTGAAGAATGAGAAGGATATATTCTGCAATCTGTTTTCGTACTACTATGTGAAAGATACCACTGAACGCAGACAGAACTTTGCCCTCTCTGAACCAGGCAAGCAGCTAATTTGATAAGGTCCATCACAGAAAGGGGAAAAACCGCCTTGCTATTTCCAATCTTTTTCAAAAAAAGTTTAGACGGTACCGTCTTTCACATTAACTTATCACTAGGTACTTCTAATTCCTCCTCAGTAACTTCAGGAGCCAGCTTACTAATATACAGCTAAGGCTTCTTTTTACATTGCTTGTGGCATAATACCAACCTTAGATCTTCTTTGTTTAAGTCAAATCAGAATCATATGTTAGACACTATATCCTAGGAGCAAATCTCAGTGACGCTTTTCTCACTGGCCTCCTGAAAGAAATTTAGTACTGAATAGTGTGGGGAGGGGAGCAGAGAGGCCCTTCAGATAATTTTTAAAGGGAATGCAAAACTTAGATATGCAAGGACTGAATTACAAATGTGGGATGATTCAGGTTTAAATAAACTTGCATGTAAAAATGATATTTTTTGCGCAACCCAATGTCTTCATAGTGAATACAAGCTCCTTTATATGCGGCTGTCACTGGAATTCAAGGAAAAGATAGATGACTACCTGAAACTAATAGGCTTGAACCCGTTTCAGCACTTCTTCTGCTTCAATGAGTCCAACATAATAAAACTAGGTATAGCGTGCAGCAAAAGTAGCCAATGTAATATTCATTGCAACCATAGATTTCCATCTCATACATACAAAGCATGGATGAAGTCATATATTTGCCAAATCAAACACAGTAAAAGCCTTAGGTATCCACACCAGATGCTGGCCTAGGGTTTGTTTGTGCACAAGTAAATGTCATGACACGAAGGTTTGTTTTCAAAGACAGTAGCTTTCATTACTGGGATTTGTCTATTCTAGAAGATCAAAATTACCCAGCACCTAATCCCTTTTCAATGATATTTCCTCTTTCTTAGGCTGAATCATCTGTAAACTTTTTCACTGGATTTTGTTTGAAATACCTCAAATAGATGCCCTAAAAAAGGGCAAATTCCTGAGTGTAAGTTGTAAAAAAGCAAGGAAAACTAGCATTTATTTTTAGGGTTACATGGTTTGGTGGGTGAATACATGTGACTGAATGACAAAATTCAAGTGATATCTAATCCTATGCTTATGAAAAATTAATATGCCATCAGAGGAATCACAAGTATAGCTAAGATTAATGAAAGGCGCTTAAAAAATTACAAGCACACAAACTGATTTGATTAAAAAATAATCTCACTGGTCGTCCTGTAATATTCTTCAACTTATCCACATCTATTCTGTCAGATGGTTATGATTAAAAATAGGTCAATGGGAGGCTACTGATAGAAATCACATGCAAAATGCACATGCAATGAATAGTAGTGGGAATGTTCAGACAGTTTAAAATGACTAAAAGCTTTTAATAAGTTTTGTGGGGTGGGGGGATGGTGAGGGAAGAGTTGATGGCAGGGAATGGGTGTAGGGAAATGCCAAGGTGAAAGATTCTTGCATCTTACCAGAGTCTTTATTAGAGTTTTTGCCTTCACCATTGTCTCTCTCACTTGTGTCTTTTTCGTCATCCTCGGCCACTGCTGTAGGCTTAATAGCTCCTTCTGCCTCCTCACTTTGTTCTTCTGTTAAGAAAGGCAGACCAATCAGTAGAACTGAAAACCTCCCAAAAATTCACGCTGAAATAAACTAGGTGACCACTTGAAAACTTTGTTATTTATGAATCATCTACAGGTATTCATACTCAAATGAGAACACAAATTTATGCAAAAGTCTATGCTGATCAAAAATGCAAATTTTTTATCTAAAGGATCTTCTTTTGTATCCATTGAGAAGATGGGTCTATACTAAATTAAAATAAATTCTTTTTAGTACAGTTTAAACTGAAACATATTTTAGAAATGGGTATAAAGCAATTCTGTGATTTCAATAGTAGAACCTTGTAACAACATAAACCCACTGCTCCATGGACTGGGATAGGTGTCAGGAAAAAAAAAAAAACAGATTTTTAGAAAAAATCTTAAACAATATAACAACGGGTTAAATATAAGACAGGTGTTACTCCTGCTTTCAGACCCCAGGCCCCAAAGGAATTCTTCGGAATTTTGTGAGAGTAAGATCTCAAAACTTCAGTTACACCCGCTATTTTTAATTTTTTTTTTTTTTTTTTTTCTGTAGGGGGAGCTATACTGGGCTTAGGATATAACAAGGTATACTTCTATGACAACTGCATCACCCCACACCTCATTCACGGGTTCACACCAGCTAGATTACATGGAAATCCTCATAGTAACTCAACCCTATTTAATTATTCTGTAAATCTTAGCTATGCCACTGCTGGTGGATTAATCTGTTTATGCAGTTAGCCTCTATGCTGGGGTTGTGTAGCACTAATCCGTGAAAGGCCCACTGTTCTCTTTCATCCTGCGATCATTTGTCTCTCACTGTGCTGATGTCACATTTTAATGAATTTTTAGCAATCTGAGTAATGCCAGATAACCAGGCTCGCAACTCCCCACAGCATGGCATGCTGTTTTCATTGCAGCACAAAAAATAAAAATCATATTCCCCTGTTCAGGTAGGAATTACATAAATTAGGAGAAGAAGCTAAAATGGGATTTGAAGCACTGGGCTGCTCAATTTCATAAAATCTTTAATGACCATATAAATTAACCCTGGAAAGGCAAAAGGTCACCGACACACATTTGCATACACTCTTCTATTTGCTTTTGATAAGCAGAGCTTTTATGCAGAGAACATGATACAATTAACCCTTCAATAACCATACAAAACGCTGCTATGGACATTTTAAGTGTCAAGCATTAACTGAAAATTACACACTGAATAAAATTTTCATTGCAAATGCTATAGTGATTGAAAGGGGAAATCGTGGCCCTTTCCACACCCCATGTTTTATTAATAACATTCTGACAGCAGAATGAAATATCCACTGTCATATGTAGCAGCTGAGCACCACAAAAAAAAAAAAAAAAAAAAAAAAAAAATCTATTTAGTGCCTCACTTGCCAGCCATGCTCTACAACTGTGTGAGCAGGACAACAACAGAAGGGGACAGTTCTAGGCGCAATAGGAAACTCTAAAAAGCTAAAGAGAAAACAAGGACATTAAATACATTCAAAATAAGAGTTTGTTTCAACTGTGAGTCCTCAAAGGCACCATACAAATCCATTTATTCCATTTTTGCCCTTTGCCTCTGTACAAAAGCAGAGGGATGGCCCTTGTTTAGGGGGTCAATCATCTGAGGGTTTGAGGGAAGCTTCCCTTTCAGGCAAATACACTCAGAAATTTAACTTCAAGAAGAGAAAGAAACAACACCTCTTCTGGCGCTAGCCTGCTTTCACCCGTCAGTGATAATTACTGATCAAACACGAGCTCCCTCCTCCCAGCACCAGGCCATGCTGGTAGGTAAAATGCTGGTGACTGAGCTGGATTTGGGAGGCTGGAGGGCTGAGATCAACTGGATTGGGCTGTGTGTGTCCCTCCCAAGTTCACACACGTGACATGATCTCTAGTTCGCGACCTATGACGGCTTGTGGCAATTACTTTTCAACTCATCCTGGGGAAAGGATGCAAGAATTCTTGGAGTAGATTTACTGGGCCTTTCCCCCAGGGCTGGAAAATAAAGTGTCAGCGTGCTACTGAGTGTCCTTATCTTGAGGGGACATAAAATTGTAAGGGCTATCGCAACTCACATTAATAAAACATTGTGTGTCAGGAGAAGAAAAAGAAAATTATGAAGGCACTAAAAGAAAAGCTACAGTATATAATCTGGGTCTCATCAGACAGATTTTGCAGGGTCCTCTTCTTCATTTTCTGGTATGTGTTTTAAGTGTGAGAGAAATTCCCAGACATGTTCTTCTATACATCACTGTGGTGTCTGACCTCAGCCTGACCCTGGCAACAGTTTGAGAAATCTGAATGTGAACAAAGACTCTGTGTCAGCAGCAGGGAAAGATTGTGGGATAGACGCTCCCCATCAACTTAATCGCAAACAGCAGTTCTGAGGCCATAACTTTGCCCGGCTCCTCCAAGCCACAACTCATAACCTTTAGAGGTGGATTTGCCTGCTATGCCTCTGCTTCTGTGACTTTTTTCCCCTCTCTCTTTTCAGGTTCTTCCTTTGAAGTAGGCAGGCAATTAGCTCTAATGCCCAAGCAATTCAGACCTGTTTTGTGGTTTAGAAGGGGAAAGCTGTTTATTACAGGTAGGCTCTTTGGAGCCATAAGAACTTTGCAAATTTTTAATCATGCAAAAACATAATCAAAAGGTAACTTATACACACCATAAAGTTTCATATAAGTCAGAATAAAAGGGCACTTTTATTCTCAAAGAGGGTTTCAGAAATAAATTTGACATTCATTGTATAAATAGACTTTAGAGTCAAGAGTATGAATGTGGAGAAACCACTTTCTCTGGAAACCCTGTAGGTTAGAACTTGGGTTAAGGGAAGGAGTGGTTACATTCTAACTTTCAACCACCACATATTCTCAGTTGTAAAATATTATGAAATGTAAGGGAAATATATATATACACACACACACACACACACATATATATAACACTAAATGTATTAAATAGATACTGTATAACTGAGGAAAATATACTACATAAAATTCCAAAATAAAGATGCCAAAGCGGTTTTCATAAATAAATCTCTTCACTAATATATTACACCAATAAATCTCTTCACTAATATATTACATGCAGTAATAGTGAAAGTATTAAATCATTTCATGACACTGTTGTATTCAACATAAGTATACATGTATACAGCATATGTATATGTCACATGCATTTTATTCTTTTGCCTCACGAAATACAGAAAATACAATATTTCTATATTAATCTTTACTATATGTTTATACTTAAACTTACCATGTATATCAAGGTCCATTTGAACGTCCCACATCCCAACTTTCAGACAAATGATAATACATTTTCATTTTTACATGTTTCAAAATAATAGAAAGAAGGCAAAATACTGTAGTCTTATATTGTAGAAATATATTACAACAAACTTTCCCGAGCATTTTTGACCTGTCTAAAATGATCTTAGTTACTGTACATATACACATTGGCTATATTTAAAAGAAATTTTTTTGAATGACTAGCTTAGAGTATTTTCATTTGAACAATAACAAACAATTGGAAAACTGCTATTAATGTATCCTACAACATTATGCAATTTCTAAGCAATGTACATCAGTCGTATCCCTTTGATCTAAGTAGCACCCAATTGTAGTTATTTCCCATTGTCCTTTTCTCATTATGCAATTTCTAAGCAATGTACATCAGTCGTATCCCTTTGATCTAAGTAGCACCCAATTGTGGTTATTTCCCATTGTCCTTCTCTCTCTCTCTCTATCTCTCTCTCTTTCTCTCTCTCTCTCTTTCTCTCTTTCTTTCGGAGTTCCACTCTATCGCCCAGGCTGGAGTGCAGTGACGCTCTCGGCTCACTGCAACTTCTGCCTCCTGGGTTCAAGCAATCCTCCCACCTCAGCCTCCCAAGTGACTGGGACCACAGGCATGCACCACCACATCCAGCTAATTTTTGTATTTTTAGTAGAGATGAGGTCTCATCATGTTGGCCAGGCTGGTTTCAAACTTCTGGCCTCAAGTGATATGCCAACTCAGCCTTTCAAAGTGCTGGAATTACAGGCATGAGCCACTGTGTCTGGCCCTTAGTTCCCATTGTCTTAACATGCAACTGGGTTTGGGATCCCTCTCTTCTGAGTCTGCTAAGAAAGCACGTCATATTTTTTAAACCCATGAAGTGCTCATATAAAGAGGAAACTTAGTAACTTAGACATCCTTAGTTTTATATAAACATATTGAGTATCTCTGTACAAGACACCTTGCTTGTGAGCATTCTTTCCAAGACTCCTCTATGATCTCCTTGCCCAGTCATGCCCCACTCAAATCTATTCTTCGAATGATACTTAAATCTGACTTCCCAACTTAAAATATTTCAGTGAGTCCTATCACTTACGAAGAAATAACTCAGCCTTCTGTACATAGCGAGAATATGTCCAAGATACCTGGTCCTTGTCTATCACTCCAGTTTCATCTTTGTTCACATTCTACATAACACTTAGTGCTTGGGAACAGTCTTCTTACACTTTAGAGTGTCAGATTCACCCATCTTGGGTTTTTACTGCACCCCATCTTGAAAGGTTCTAGTGTAGTAGGTCTAGAGTTGAACCTGAGAATTTGCTTCTCTGTTGAGTTTCCAGGTAATGCCGATGTTCCTGGTCCAGCTCATGTTTTGTAACCACCATTCAAGAAGCCCAACTCTTTGTAGCGCTTTCTCCCTTCCTATATGTACCATTACAATTCCTTATCTTATTTAGAGCAACTTTTCTTCACTGTGTAAATTCTACTTTTCCTTCAAATCATCTTGGGAAATATCAGTTTCAACATCTATAAAAATGGAGTTAATAATAATTATCTCATAGGTTTGTTATGGAATAACATATACAAATTGGTGAGCACAAGCTTAGTAAAAAAAAAAATATTAAAAATCATAGCTGTATTATTACTAGTACTATTGAGTACTATTATTTTCTTCTCTAAAAAGCCTTCTCTGAACCCTGAACTAGCATTAGTGTTTCTGGATAAATACTTTTTTTCCCAACCTGTATGTTGATGTTGAACCATTCACCACAGTTTAATTTGTGGAAATTATCCGTATATTGCCTACTTGCTGTAATAGGTAAACATTTTTTGAAAATAGTGATTATCTTTTCCATCTTTGTGCCAGAAGAAGCTGGAACAGTGCCTGGAATACAGTAGGCAGGCAATACATGTTAGTTGGAACAGTGAATTGGGTTTAGAAAGCAAAGTTTGGGAAAGAAAAGGAAGAGTCCACGTGCTACCCCAGCCCCTGTTTCCCTTTAATAACGTGTAAAAGGGGTGTGTGATTTTGTCTTGGTAGTCTGGCTTGTTTTTGTTTTGTTTTTTTTTTCTTTTTGCATTTCTCTCTCTACTAAATCACATTTATTATTCAACCCTCTCCAGTCTAGTTTCTGTTCATGTTAATTCCTCCTCTCAAAGTCATCAATGACTCCCATGCTGTAAAATTCAATGGTTACTTCTCTGCATCTTACTTCACTTTCTTTGCTCAACTGATGTTACTCCTCCCTTCTTCTGGAAAATTGTGCCTCTCTTTGGATTTTATTGCATCAGGTAATTGTGATTTTCATCCTGCCTCTCTGAGAATTACTTCTTATTCTCCTTTGCTGGGACCTCCTCTATTAAACAACAACTAAATACTTGAGTGTCTCCACTTATTAGTACTAAGTCCTTTCTCTATCTACATTACCTCCCTAGATGATCTCATCCAGACTCATGGCTTTATATTTTGTAACTCTACTTGGATGTCCAAAAAGTCTATCTAATTTAGTATGCCAAAATCAGAGCTCTCAATGCTCCTCAACACTTCTTACTCCATTTCCCCAACTTTACCATTGCAATTAACAGTGCCACCACCCAGCACAAGCAAGAGTCATCCCTTAGTCTTCTCTTTCCCACTCATATGCATCCTATCCATCAGTAAACCCTACTATTTCTGCTTCCAAGATACTTAATGTATACTGAATCCATCTACTTTACATTTTCCCTGCCAGTACCTTTAATATCTTACTTATATTCCTTATGGTCTTATAACTAGATAAGACTTATTCTTGTATTCCTATAATATATTCTGCACAACTAAATAAAATCAGTCCATTCTCCTGCTTGAACTCTGTCATAGCTTACTATTTCACTTAGAATAACTTAACAACTCCTTACTAGGCTGAAACAATTAAGCCTTTGCCTACTTTTCTGGCTGCATGTTATGCTACACTCCTCCTCACTCCCTCATCTTTCTCCATGATGCGAAAGCTTTCTTTCTCTTCCTGGAATGGGACCAATTTTTTCCAAACTCTGAAGTACATTCTCCCAGACTCTGAATAATTTGCTCCTTTTCATTAACCAGGACTTGGATCACTTGTCATTTCCTCAGAGAACTTCTCTGACTACTGCTTCTAAAGTAGCTGATGAGTTGTCACACAAGTAAGGTCCTCAGATTTTAGCAGAATCACTACCACCTGAGGGGTTTGCTGGATTCCACCTCTAGTGTTTCTGATTCAGTAGGTCTGGGTTGGGCCCAGTAATTTGCATTCTTACAAGTTCCTAGGTTGCGCTGATGCTGTTTGAAATGAGACCACACTTTGAGAACCTCTGCTCTAACAAATCACCTCTTTAACTTCCTTTATCACATTTATTGCAATCTGAAAATACTTTTTTGTTTATTTGTTTAGAGATATTATCTAAAGTGAGGGACTTCATGCGTTTTATTCACAATGTTTGCTCAGCAGTCTCTGGCATATAGAAGATACTAATATTTTAAATAAAACTGATGATTTCTAATTTGACTATTTGCGCAACTAAGTCTACGGTGTGATGTCATCCACTGAGATGGAGAAAAGAGAACAAATAGTTTTGCGGAAAAGGAAGTTCAATTTGGAATTTCTTGTGTTTAGCCTCACTACAGAACATCTAGATGAAAATATCCAGAAGGTATGGCAATATCTAAGTCTAAAGATTCTCAGAGAGATTGAAGTAATAATGTAGATTTTGATGTCTTTGTTACAAAGCAATAAAGAAACGTGTTGACAGGAAGTAATCTCTTTTAGCTTGAAATTTTTGCCATAACTCTTGATTTTGGCCATAGCACTGTTGAGTCATTAATGAAATCTTTTCATTGGTTTGAGGTAGGGAAGGGAGAGTAGGTTTATTCTATTTCATATTAAATATATTCTCTAGCTTTTTAGGGGAAAATAACATTTTTAAAAGTATTGATGAGACACGCATAAGTAAAGGTAAACTTAGCTTTGAAGTTGGTATTTTTTATGAGGAATGTCCTGACTATATGGAAGCGATGTTTTCACTTGCAAAATTGTTTTTATTTTAAGTATTCCAATATGCCATTGTGAATGCAAAGGACTTTCGATAATCATTTATTGTTCTATATAGCATGTTACTATTCCAATTGGATAAATCTGGAAACTGAGGTCATACTTATATAGCAGAAATACATAGCTGAAATAAATGAGGTGTGTTGTAGTAGTAGGAGTGAATCTCCTTTTAAATTATCTGAATATAATGCAGCTAAGAAGGTGTAAATGCCTTTCTTAAACAAATTTTATATATATATATTATATATACCAAAGCAAAAGGATTAGAGGATATGTTGACATGACTATACAAAATCCAATGAATTCAATAATTACCAAAAATAACTCCATCGACTAGGCTCTTTGACTTGTGAAAAATAATATCCAGCTTATTAATATATACATTGTATAAAATCTATAATTTAGGTGAAGTTTCATAGTGTATAAATATCGATGTGAAAAATTATTAGCAGAAGTTTTAACTTATTCTTTAAGAAGCTACAAACATCCACAAAAAAAAAAAAAAAAAAAAAGAGTGAGTTCAGGCACAGACCTTATATCCTTCAGAAACATTCACTCAAAATGGATTACAGACCTAACTGCAAAACACAATGCCATAAAACTCCTAGAAGATAACATAAGGGAAAATCTGGATGACTTTGGGGTTAGCAATAACTTTTTAGATACCACACTAAAGGCATGATCTATGAAAGAAAGAATTGATAAGCTGGACTTCATTAAAATTAAAATTTTTGCTCTTTGAAAGATACTGTGGGAAAATAATGAGACAAGCCACAGACAGGAAGAAAAGATTTGGAAAATACATATCTGATAAAGGACTGTCATATGAAATATACAAAGAACTCTTACAACTCTTACAAGCAAACAAACAACTCAATTAAAAAATCGGCCAAAGACCTTAACAGACACCTCACCAAAGAAGATATACAGATGGCAAATAGGCATATGAAAGATTACATGAATGAAAAAATCCACATCACATATCATCAGGGAAATGCAAATGAAAACAACAATGAGATACAACTACACACCTATGAGAATGGCCAAAATCCAGAACACTGACAACATCAAATGCTGGTGATAATGTGGGACAACAGGAACTCTCATTCATTGCTGGTGGGAATGCAAAATGGTACAACCACTTTGGAAGACAGTTTGGTTTCTTACAAAACTAAACATGCTCTTATCATACAATCTAGTAATTGTACTCCTTGGCATTTATCAAAGGGAGTTGAAAATTTATGTCCACACAAAAGCCTAGACACAGACGCTCATAATAGTTTTATTTGTAATTGCCAAAACTTGGATTCAACCAAGTTGTTCTCAGTAGGTGAATAAACGAACTGTGATATATCCAGACAATGATTATATATTATTCATCACTAAAAGGAAATAAGCTATCAAGCCATGTAAAGACATAGAGAAAACTTAAATGCATATTACTAAGTGAAAGAAGCCGATCTATAAAAACTACATACTGTTTGATTCCAACTATATGACATTCTGGAAAAAGTCAAACTATAGAGACTATAAAGGATCAGTGGTTTCCAGGGGTCAAGAAGGTGGAAACAATGAATAGACTGGCACATATTTATAGGGAAGTGCAACTGTTCTATATGATATTATAACAGTAGATATATGTCTTTATGCTTTTGTCCACACCCATAAAATATACAACACCAAGAGTAATTGCTAATGAAAACTGCGGTGTAGGAATGATAACATTGTGTCAATACAGATTCATTACTGAACAAGTGTACCACTCTGGTGGGCAGGCAGTGATAATGAAGGAGGCTATACATGTGTCAGGGGAGAGGGTATTGGGGAAATCTATACCTTCCTCTCAATTTGCTGTGAACCTAAAACTGCTCTAAAATATAAAGTCAATTTACATATACTTCCAATTATTGAATTTATTTGATTTTGCTTTTTATTTGAATAAGGCATATGATCAGATCTAATTAAAGAAGTTCCAGAGAATGTTTATTACATCAATTGTGAGAATGACAAAAGCAACTCATTTAGGGCAGGGAAATATTTTGAGAAGGAATAGGAACCATTACCTGAGGTTGATCTCAACTGCTGCTCTGTAAGATCATCATCACAAGTCCTGGCTCCCAATGAGGCAGTTTCTGCAGAAGACATCAGAGTGAAAGGTAATCAGCATGCTATATCTAGCTCTCACATCATGGCTAATAACACAAGAACCCAAAATTTGGCAGTCAGGAGAGATAAGTATCAGGTGAAGCTCAGGTGAGTCTCCAGCACACCTTATATCCTAGTGAGCAGTAGCTGGCAAAATGAGCCCAGGGAGCGATAGGATTAGATTTAATTCTTAATTATTAGCAGCACAGAACAAACACACTGGTAGAGAAAATATGGGAACAGGAAAGGCTCATTATGATTTTTGTCATTGGACTATTTGGCCAAGCATACATTTTATAGGATTATGTGTTAGAGTGACAATAGCACATTACATAAATTATGAGCATACTTTTACTTCTCTGATAAGGTACCAGAAAGCAAAGAAAAAATCATTACTGTATATGATAGCTGATGTGCCAAAGCAAACATCAGGCACTGGAGGGGGCACCTGAAGAATAAGTCCAAATCATCAGCAAATCCACATCTTTATTCTCATCTTTTATTTGAGCTTTAGAGCAAAAGAGCCAACAATGTCTTGGTTTACAAAACTCAACACCAAACACAAATCATATAGTCACCTAACTGTGTGATTCCTTTTTGCACCCTATTGTAGGGGAACCTATGGAATAAACAAAACAACTGGACCTCAGAAATTTCCTTCGACATCTCATTCCTTCTCCACACCAAGTCACCACCTGCTGTTGATTCCATTTTACCAAGTCTCTTGTCATGGGTGCTCTCTGTTCCCTCTGTCTTCTTCTCCTTCCTGACCATTTCAGCAGCCTCTATAATCATCTATATGCCTCAAATTCCCTGTCTTTCCAATCCAATCCCTCATAAAATCTCAAGAGTTATCTTTTTAGAAGATAGAATCTTGAATACAAATCATTTCTCCATCACTTCTAGGTGTGGGTGAATTACTTAGCCTCACTAAACCTCAAGTCCCTCATGCATAAAATGAAGATAGAACTATGTAAATAGTAACAGTAAAAGAAAATAATACAACTAAAGGTGCAACGTGATATAGTCTTTAACATCTGAAGAGACCAGATGTTATCAAAAAGTTAAAAAAAATGGTCACATAATTCTTAACTTAATCATGTTTACTTACTATTTCTAGCAATGGCATCTCTGGTTGATTCTGAAGACTTTCATTAAACAAATAATTAACCTTGAAAATAGAAACGCATAACAAGGCACTATTATTGCATTTACTAATTGTCTTTCCTTCTGTGTATAAAACCTTTGACCTTTAGTAGTAATCTATTTAAAAACAATACAATCATAATAAATACTCAGTGCTCCCCCACCAAAAAACCATTATGTTAAATTCATCATGAAAGAAAAAATTTATTCTCAATGTTTACTTATAAATCCATGAGTAGCTTCCAAATACATCACAGCCTTAATGGACATCCTACATGTCACTCAAGAAGTCCACCTTCTTTCTCTTGACAACTTCTCATGTTGTTATGCCTTGATCAACGTGGTTCCTTTGATTTTGAACACCTTTTTGTTCTTCCCCTGTTAGCCTCCTAATTCTTCCCTCAGAACCAAAAGCACGTGAAGCCTCCTCTGTGCACCCATCATGATTAACTTACATGTATGTTTCAGCACTTATCATGATGTATTAATTTTCACATGGTCCAGGTATGTTTCCCCAATAAATTTTGATTTCCTCAAATGCAGCTTTTCATTTCATGGATTCTCAAGTAAGGACAGAGTAAGACATCAAAGTCACCTAAGACTCTTTCATAGAAAATACTAACCTACATCCTATATCCTAAAACAGATGAATCTGAAGATGAGAACTTTCTTGTAGCTTCCCAGAGCTTCAGGACTCTAAATTCAGAGCTCTGTCAACTATACCACAGATAATACAAATGCAGACAATACCCCCGCTCTCTCTCTATATGTGTGTGTATGTGAAAACCATTTCTCTTTTTTCTAGCGAAGAATCAACATAATTTATCAGAAAATCTCTACCACTACCTCCACATACACATTTCAATGTATTATATAGACTTGTTCAAAATGAATGTCAGTAGTACCTAGGTGACTTTGACCAAATAACTGCTATTCCTTAAAGATTAATGAAAGTAAAAATAAAACAACGACAAATTATTGAGTTCATATCTCTGCCAGGTACTGTGATAAGCTATTTGTATAGAAACCATCGTGTAATCCTCACAATAACATAATGAGGCAATTATTAATCCTTCTTTTACAAATCAAGAAGCTAGAGTTTAAATAGGTTAAAGTAATTTGCCTCAGGTCACAAAGTTAGAAACCAATAGCCTGGAATGAAACCCTTGTCTGTCTGGTATAAAAGTCTGTCAAATTATCAATGCGTCTAGTTGTAATACCACAATATTTGGGGGCCTGTAAAGGTTTGCCTAGTCTTAGCAAAGGTCAGAAACCAAGTTGTGGGGAAAGCAACTTTTCTCTAGACTGGTGAAAATTCTGCTGTTTCATAACATATGTATGCTCCTTGAATATAAAATATAACCAAATAATAATTTGGTGCCATATTAAAGTTACTTCATTTGATAGTGATTTAATGAAATGTACAAAATGTCAAAATCAGAAACTGTTGTTTAATCTTACAAATTAGGTCATGTGGTACTTAGAGACTGCTCCAATGAGAGCTACCTGTACAAATAATTTCATAAAGGAATGTTTAGATCCTCAATAGTGTTGCTCTCTTCATACAAATATAAATATTTTAATAAAGGAGCTTTTAACTTATAAAATGAAATGATTAATCTATATTCTTCTGCCTGTGTAAAATGAAATGTTTAAAACCTAGTAATGATACATAGCATCTTACAATATATCACCTTAATAACTGGTCTGTAATAACAGATCTGACTGCTGTTAACACGATTTGTCTCTTTTGCCGGTGATTTAATTAGATTACTAATTTGTGTTCTCTAGCACCTGACCTTCCTTGTTTTAATACTCTTTAAAAAAAATGCCATTGACTTAGCTTTTCCAGTATTCTACCCTATCCTGTCAATTTGGTGATAATCACGCATTTGAAAATTATGCCAAATTATGCTATTTTCATTAACACAATGTGGGAGTAATCAACATCATTTTCTGTGGAATAGTGTATTGATCATCACAATCGCCATCAACAACAACATTTTACAGTGTATCTGCTCTGTGCCAAGTACTGAATAATATCGTTATGTGTGTTATGACACCCATAGCAAGTGATGGAGCTGGGATTTGAACCCACACAGTTTTATTTCAGAGATAGTTCTCTTAAACACAATGATAGATTGAACCATAGTTTTTAAATCCTACAAGTAGCTTTCCTTTTTTTAATTCTGCATTTATTTCTAGTGTTCATTTTTGTTGTTCTCATTCAGGTCTGAATTCTTCTAATCACCTATTTCTTTAGCCTAACCTAAATGGTTACATCTACAAAAACCAAGCTTAATGCCAAAATGTTTAAGGTTCCCATTCCTTAAATGGAGTCTCACTCTGTAACCCAGGCTGGAGTGCAGTGGCGCGATCTCAGTTCACTGCAACCTCCACCTCCCGGGTCCCGGTTCAAGAAGCAATTCTCTTGCCCCAGCCTCCCAAGTAGCTGAGCTTACAGCCACACACCACCATGCCCAGCTAATTTCTGTATTTTTAGTAGAGACGGGGTTTCATCATCTTGGCCAAACTGGTCTTGAACTCCTCACCTTGTGATCTGCCCGCCTCAGCCTCCCAAAGTGCTGGAATTAGAGGCATGAACCACCGTCAATTCCTTTTGATCATAAGAATGAAAGTTCTCACCGCCCTTTCTCTCACTACTTTTTACTGCCACATCTACCCCTAAGCCTCTCCATAATGAGTCTCCAACCCATTACTCATTTCTACCTTTTCCTTCCCTGAACAAGTGATACTTATTCTGGTAAGTAAACTGACAACTTTCAGGTATTTAATCTCAGTTCAAAAATCATCACGTTCCCATCTGGCAAATCTTCCGCCCCCATCCCAGTCCCCTCACCGCTAATTGGGGTAACAATTTTGCAAAACTATAATCCATACAAATCTCATGGCCATGGAAAGATTTGGAATTTTAATTTTTTAACAGTCCAGATATTTATGCAGAGAATTACAAGATCAAGATATGGGAATAAATTTAACCTGTACTAGGTGACTGCAACAGCCATGGGCAAAATTTGGGATGCATTCAGCACAACTTTAGAGGCAACTGGAATTTTTGAAATAATGGATATATGTTCAAGCTGCCAAGCATAGTACTAATACTATTTGCCTATGAAACTTCCCATCTCACCTCCTCCCAATAATTTGCTAATGCATTAAACAATAAAGTATAGTACTATTCTTACAAAATGTTTAGCACATAAAATAAAATATATACCACCAGAGTAAATATTAAGCCAACCGGTGTAAAATAGTAAAGGGAAAGAAAAACATTTTCTGTATTCCTATGCAACATTATGAATCCCATGTTATTTTCATTTACAATAAGCCCAACTCTTACTGTTTTTTTTTTTTTAATTGGAGAAAAAGACTAAATTCTATGATAGAGTTCACAAGTGTCAAACAACCTTCACTCCTCAGCCCTTCTAGCCATGCCTTTTCTGTTTTACTTTTGAAGCTTTTCCCACTTCTACTGGAGCTATGTGACTAATTGTAAAAGGATATTTTAGAGCCTATGAATACAATAAAAGATATTAGCAGCACTCTAATTGCAAACTAATAAATTATCACTTTTGGAAACCTGTTAGGTGCTAGGCATGTATCTTGCATTTCCTTATTTAATCCTCACGGTAATCTGCAACAGAAAAAAAATCACCGTGTTTATGGAAGAGATGAGATATCAAAGCTCAGACAGTTTAACTTTTTCCAAAGGCACAGAGCAGCAGAAGTGAGATTTGAAGGAGTGACTCCAAAGTTCTGTACCTCCCCACTGGACAGCACTGTCTCTAGGCAGCCCTCAGGACTCCTGAGTCAGGCAGCC